GGGATGCTTAGCCGTAGTTATGAGTTTGAGCGCCGCGAACGATGTGGTATGTTTTGTATTAATTCAGCAATGTGGGTCATGCATATAGAGGCGTGTACATGTGCCCTTGTGATTGGTCGAAAAAAGTGTGTATTTTATATATTTATTAGCGTATCTTTATATGCTTAATTTTATCGCATTATATATTATTCGACTTATTTATTTATTAGATGGATCCAAATGCTATGATATTTTTATGTTTATTTTCAGCATATTAGAGTATCTCTTTGAAAGACGCATGCAGTCCGAGAGTTATGTATCGGAAGGTCCGTTAGTTTGAAAGGCCCATTAAGTTGGGAGGATTTAAAATAGAAAGAGATTGATTTGGGCCCAAAGGAAACAACACTTGAAAAGACTCACGCCACTCTCAGGATTATTTGGAATTGAAAAATTGAGAATTTTTTGTGGCTAAACTTATTGGAGACTCATTATTGGGAGAGCTTAAAGAAGGAAATAAATTATTTGTTAGCCACCAATTATTATTTAAGAAGACATTCACGCACGGAAACAAAAAGAAAAGGAGCCGCCATATACATGGGGGGAAGAAATATTCACGCGAAACAAAGGAGAGAACAGAGTCGCGGCACAGGACAATACAGATACGAGGAAGCCGACGATAGCGGAGGGAGGCCGCACCCGCACACGAAAGGGGATAATTCTATTCCTTTTCTTTTATTCTTTATTATGTTAGGCTAGTTTTTCTTTCTAGTTCTGGGGATGTCGAACCCTCCGACTTGATGAAGTTTGATTAACTTTCTTGGTTGAGAATTTAATTATCTTTTTGGAATTGTTTGTGTTATTTTGAATAATTAACCATGATGTGTTGAGTTTGATTTAGATTGATCACCTAGATTAGGCTTTACATATCTACACCTGAATTAGGCCTTCAATCCGTAATTGTTGATGTGTTTAATTCGCAAGTGGTATCCGGGAGATGGTAACTACCGGGGATAACACGGCCTATTTAAGTGAACGAACGCGTCACTACTTAGTCTAGCCTATTTTTCTAATGCGTAAAGCGGCTGATTGTATTAAATCTAAGAAGCATTTTCTAGACTGTACAAGAAGTCAGGTCTAATCGTAGAGCGTCTCGCGGTTAGATTAAAAATAAGGAAAAATTCGGGTAACAGACCGTGTCGTTGCCTAGGGCTAGTAATTCCATAAGATAGCGAGATTTGATTCCAAAGTTGATTAGACGAGTCAGTCGAGGGTGTAGACGGAACCGTGAACTAGAAATTTCTCTTATTTATTTTATTTTATTTTTATTTTCATTGTTTAGATTTTATTCTTATATAGATTAGTTATTAATCCAATCCCCCCATTTATTGCTTTCTTAATTTCAATTAATACAAGAATATCACAATTTGATTCACACTCCCTTGGGTTCGACCCTTGCTCGCTACTACTACTATTTGGTAGAAGTAAGTTAAGGAAAAATATAAATATTAATTTTGTCGCGTTGCGACGCGCGGTCACCTTGCAGCAGTTCAGTCCTTGCCCAAGATAGAATAATAATAATATAGTCCAATACATATGTTTGTAAATATGTGGGTAATATTGAAAAATTATATTAACTGATAAAATAATATGCTCAAAATATTCTTTAAGTTTAATAATGATTTTTTCGGTTGGAGACAAAATACAGTTTTTAGTGATATTATTGCATTTTGGGTTTGAGAATGTGATATGAGATACAATACTAGGTCAACTTGAACGGAGAAACAACCTAATTGAACCGGGTCAACCGGCAGATCGAACAAAAATCGAGGGCTCTACAGGTCGAAGAGGCCTTGGGTCGATGAAGATCTCCTAGATCCAAGGAGTACAGACATGTTGAGCGAGGGATCTCAGATGGCTTGGTTGAACTTGACCTGAAGGCATGACTAGTCGATGGATCTACCAATTGAGCAGAGCATATGAGCTCAACACTGGCAGCACTCCACTCGAGGTAATCTAGGTTGCTCGCACGATTATACCATATAATAAGACAGACTAATGGATAAGAATGAATATTACCATGATAAGGACCTCACGTGGATAGAGCCACGTAGCCTAACAAAATTGGGCAGTATAGGCGTACAGTTTAGGTAACTCATCTGGGCAACAAAGTAGCACATCCCTATATAACGGAGTGAGGTATACCTATAGCAATATTAGATTCTCGACACACTCTATATACTCACAATGCTTCTTGTTCATTGTTGATCGTCTTCATAAATGTTCTTACTTAAGCACCGAAAGCTCTACGTCGAAAAACCCTTATAGCGTTGTGTTTGTGCAGGTATTGTAGGTCATTAACCGGCGAGGAAAGCAATTCGAACCCAGCCGGTCCGAGACATTTTACATACCATAATGAATTTTTCGGATGGAGATTGCCTTAAAGATACACATTTTAATTTTTTTTTTCAAACTGACATATTTGTACATTGTAATTAAAGACTAGAAAACAACTAAAAATAGTCGAATAAATCAGCCCTCTAAGCTGAATCTAGGGGGAGGTATACACAAAAGTAGTCTAGAACCAATAAAACAAACACAAGCTAAATAAAAGCTACCTAACTCCTACACGGGAGAATAAAACTTTTCAATAATGAAGAATACAAACACAAAGCAAATCATAAAAAACACATAACAAAAAAGAAAAAACACCTGATAAATAGAATGTTGTTCCCCTCGTTTTCCACACAGCTTGCAACTGTAACCGCACTTCAAATCACAAATCTAAAAACAACAACCTAAGATGGACATGACCGAAATCGAGACACCAAGCTCTGAGAACTTCAAAACATCTCAACCGGCTAAGCAAATTTGAGAATTGTTAGAATCACCACACCTTGGGACTGTTGATCTTCCTTCAACAAGCCAAAAGATTCTCGATCAATACCCCGCACACAAGAAGTAAACTGAGATGGGAAACTCTCGAGTTCGAGCCAAAAAAATTGAAATTGAGCGGGAGACGGACAAAAAAAAGTGAGGGGCATGGTAAAAATGGCGGCGGCAGGGACGACAGAGGCTGCCGCAATTTATTTTCCCCCAAGAAGAGAAAAGGGAAGACAGAAAGTGAAGAAATAAGCCGTAAAAATACACTTGATACTTGTTAGATATATGCTGAAATAATGACTTGCAACTTCTATGTCAACAAATAGGTGTCAGGTTAATGTTTATGACTATGTTTGGTAGACAAATAAGCTAGCTTATAACAAATTTGATTAACTTATAAGCTCACTGTATTCAAATAAACCTCGTGTGGTAAGACAAGCTTTTATAAAAAGCTCAAGCTTATTTGATAAGCTTCTTCATGTAGTTTTCAAATAAGGTAGTTGAATTTTTTATTCCAGCTAACTTATCAGCTAATTTTACCAAACACTTTATCATATAAGCTAGTTTTTCAGCTATAAGTAATAAGATATAAGCTAAAACAATTATTGATATAGTTTATCAACTATCAGCTAACTTATCAACTAATTTTACCAAACATAGCCTATATCAAAACGTGTCAAATTAGATCTAATTTTTCCACTAATAACACTGTCCTTCAAGCACGAGTAGTGAACTTTTGAGTCCTCTCTCTCTCTCTCTAGTAAAAAATAGTTTGCAACATGTCACGCCCACCTAACTTTGGTCAGCAAATTATTTAAAATATTGCAGCATAAAAAATTTCCAAGCGCAAATGGCGATGATCAAGACTCAAATGCCCAATATTTCATCATGAACCTTCAAGTGATCCGGAAAATGGCCTCTTTAATTGTTATTATTAAAAAAACAAATATACTATAATTCTGAACTTGACAAAATTTCAGCCAGTACACATGAAAAGGAAGAACAAACCAAAAAATAAAAGGATGAATATAATTATTAAAAAAAATGGAGGTTAATTCAATGATTCTCTTCCTAAATCCAAAACCAGATCATCACATTCTAAAACTGCCCCTTACTTTTGAGCTCTCAGGGTTCCTCAGACCAAAAAAACTCGATCGACTGATTTGTTGCGCAATCGGAGACAAACTACTAATGTCCATCAAAGGCGAACGGGTCGGTTCCACAACCCCAAACCCAGTCGAGCACGACTTTTTCCTTCGTCCGCTAGCCGGGACCTCTCGTTTGCCCCTTCTCTCTCGATCACCATTATCGTCATGCACACGATTATAGTTGTCCTTCAAATGGCGAAGGATCTTCCTTTTTTCTTTCGCCAGCTGTTTGCCTAGAGAAAGAGGCACAGACAAACCTCTTCTCGGGGTTCTTTCCTCAGTAGTCTTATTATTAATCTCCTCTTCTTCAGGCAGACTTTCGTATTTACGCTGCTCTTTCTCCTCGACTTCGCTGTTTTTCTTCAGCCGGAAGCTCTTGAGCTTTTTTTCCTTTTCGAGTTGCTTTCCCAAAGGTACCGGAGAAGGCTGTGACATGAGATCCACACTTGGGTTTTGAATATTCTCTTTGAGAATGGAAACCTCGAGCTGCAACTCGTTCGCCTTGTTTTCGTACTTGATTGCTTTCCCCTTCCATTCTTCCACCTAAAAGAAAATGTGTGAAAAGTGAATAAAAAAATATCTAAAATGAAGCAAATCAAGAAGGGTCCCTTACAGTGTGCCTAAGCGATCGAATTTCATGCTCCAAATTGTATGCTCGATTTTCCCAGAAATCACGAGACGCCTGCAGCTCCTCCATTTCACCATGCAACTGGGCCAGCATCTCCTGCATCTGGGCCCACTGATCAGTCTCGGCTCTCACCTGCTCGACTATCCTCCGCACGACTGACTTGCAACGTCCCGTGCATTTGTTCTCGTTCGCCACCACGGGATCCTTTGGAGAACAGAACATTCTTAAACCAAACAAAAAAAATAAATAAATAAAAGAAATCTCCTGACTAACTATACACACAGCGGAGGGCATATAGTTCTAAGCCACCGAGAACTAGTTTTAGCTTAAATAGGCACTAATGCAAATGGAGATCGAATAGGCGTGATGTTTACAGCCTAAAGATTAGCTGATGTAGTAGAAAGTGAAGGCATGCTCGGACAATAGCAACCAATATTCTCAAGGACTTGACTATATGATGAAAAAAAAAAGAACGAGCCCATGACTTGTGCCGAGAATAAACAGGCAAATTCAACGGTGTCGGACAGAGTATCGCATTCTGTAAGTCTTACTCAGCTGGCAATAGAATAGTGGAAAAGGGAAGAAAAACGGAACCACAATCAGATGCCAAAAAAATTTATATTAGTTCCTTGAGGCTTCATGTTTGACAATATTTGATAAATAACTGAGGGAGTTTTGGGCAGTGTGTAGCAAGGAAACCATTTAATCTTATTACATCTCACACACTTTCAAAATCATAAGAAAGCCAAGATTGTGAGTGTACTAAAAGGCCATTTAACATTTTAAAATGAGCAATCCAAACAATAACAACAATGTTATACAAGGGAATTATTTATTTACTAATTGATAATAATTGTCTAGTTGAAATATTAGACTACAAGGTGATATAGCTGAAGAGGTCCAAGCGAGACCTGGAGGAAGAGCGACCTGAGGAGGTTTAGGCGAGACTTGAAGGTCTCGATGACCAAGTATAATGAGGTATCAGTGAGGAGATTGCAGTAAAGAGGCCATCTCGACCAAACAAGATAAGAGCTAGAGCTCATCTCATCCTGCTAGAGGTCATCTCAACTTGCTAGAGGTCATCTCGACCTGACAACAGGAGCTATACGTCTCTATGACTAAGTATGTCGAGCAGAGGTGTTCTGAGGAGACTAGAGGTCTCTATGACCAAGTATGACCAGTGGCGAAACCAGCCAGTCATCCCGGGGAGGGCCCAATTTGCCGCGGCGCACCACCCCCACTCCAGCCATCCCGCGGCGCACCACCCCACTCCGGCATCGTAAAGGCGCTCAAAGGGCTTTGGTGGACGCTCTCAAAAATTTTCGCAAGATATAAAGGGATACTCTAGAGATTTTTCCTAAAATCAAACTAAGTACAGAATTAAACTGGTATACTTAAACTGAATTGTTTTAACTTGAAAAATACTCGAATTTATACTAATAAAAATCTCGGACTCAATTATAATAATAAATACCTCCTTTCGAATAGACAAAAAGCTGAAAAAATTGAGAAAACGAAGCCTCGAACGATCGAACTCGTCCTCGACAAATTTGTCTCATTTTGATACTATTTAACGCAGAAATTGAAACTCTCATAATAAATGCTCGGAACTCCGAAAAATGTGAAATTTATCCGTATGGAATCGTGCTTGAATTGTCTACACGCTCCAACTCGATTCTCGTTAAACCGAAGTCACACGCATCCTTACGGAACCCCGCAAAACGGTTTTTTATTCTTCTATTATGCGCACTCGACTTCGAGCTTCTCAAAATAAATGCTCAAAACTTCGAAACGTGAAATAAATTTTACGAACGGCTTCTACTGTTCTCGTGCTTTCAAGAAAATACTCCCGCTAATTTTCAGCACGCCTAACGAGGGCCGACGGTTACCCGAAGTCTAGATATGAAAATGACAATAAAGTCACCGCCACTGCCATTTTTCTATCAACTTCGGGCTACCCAAAATAAATGGTCGGGACCTCAAAATCATAAAGCGACGCCACCAACGCACTCTCCGCTTCCCGTACTTTCATAAAAGTATTTTTTGGTAATGATCGACTCGGTTTTTGAATCCCGTCGGTACACCGCAAGTCGGCTAATTAACCAACTCAAAATATAATAAAAATAAAAAAATTATTAAATTCTGTTGCTGTTATAGTTGTCACGAAACCAGGATCCCGTTTCGGGCAGGCCCAATTTGCCTTTAAAAACAAAATCACGACAAAATTGGTGGCGCCCCTCCGGCCATGTATGTACCGCATGAAACCGGGAGGGCCCAACGTGCGCGTTCAAAGGAAAATCTTTCAGTTCCAGCAAAATCCTCCACCCCTAGTTTAAATTTTTTTTTTTTTGGAGGGGCCGGCGCCTCTCCCGACCCCAACATAGTTTCGCCACTGAGTATGACAAGGTGGAGGTGTTCCGAGGAGACAAGAGGTCTCTATGACTAAGTATGACGAGCTAGAGGTGTTCTGAGGAGACTAGATGTTTATGTGAGGTCTCATCCACGAGGTCTACAGAGAGTTAAGCTCACTATGACTACTAGAGCATGATCTAGAAGTAGTAAATGAATAAGAAGGAATCTGATGATGATCCAGATGTGATTAAAATATAGATAAAATCAAATCTCGGGCAGTTTGGCAGGTTGACCGAGGGCAGTTCGGGCAGTTCAAGTAGAGATATCCGAGCAGATATTTCCCCTATAAAAGGAGACTTGAGATATAACCCTAATTCTCTCTCCCTCTTTCTACACACTCTACTTACATTACAACTTTAGATTGCTGAGCTCTATCTTATTCTTGCTTGTGCTGACTTAAGCATCCAAGGCCTGACGTCGGGACCCCTCCTGGCGTTTAGTTCTTGCAGGTTTCCTGAGGCGGTTCAAGCGAATCGGAACTCTCCTCAACCAATTTTATCTAGATCCAGGTAGAGCCCCATCAAGCGGGAGAGACAAACTTAAAATAATCCCGAAGATTAGGTCCTAAAAACAAAGTGTTGTACTATTTTTTCCTTAAGACCAAGTTTTTCCCATTGAGTTTATTAATTAAAGGTTTCTAATGAGACAACTAGTAAAACACGTGAATTTTGTAAATCGTACTCTTTTTTCCTTGGCTAATTTATTTTTTTCCTGTCGGGTTTTTATTAGGAAGGTTTTTAATGAGGCATGTAGTAATGTCCAAGAGGAAGTGGTATAAATATATGAATATGGACTTTTACAATATATGAATATGAACATTAGTAATATACAATTGGGTCTGTCAGTTTTTATTAGAAAGGTTTTTAATGAGGCATGTAGTAATTTCCAAGATGAAGTGTTATAAATATATGAATATGGACATTACTAATGCAATTCGGCCTGAAGCTTATTAGTTAGGAAAATTAGGTTCTAGGGATTCTCTCTTGTGAACCCTATAAAAGGGTGATATACCGGTGAATAAAATACAAACTTTTCTGCTTCTCGTCTGCTCCTCTTTTTTCGTTCTATTCACTGCATATCTTTTATGCTTGGTGGATTGATGGATACTTAGTGAATATCGAGAACTCCAATTTACAACGATATATACATTGGATCATCCCTATAATATACATATGAACATCGTTTGCCTTGTTGTGGCGCAATCCTGATCATCATCATTTCTGTTAATACATATATGAACAGCGTTGCGTTTTTCTAGCGTAGCCCTGTAGCTGCTACTAGAGCTTAGTTTCTTTTTTTTTTTTTTTT